GGTCCTGGCAGTCTCCAAGATGCTTTGCTTAAAAAAAAAAACAAAACAAAACAAAACAAAAAAAAAAAGAAGGATGTGATTACTTATTAAAAAAAAAATTATGTCACTTTCTAAACTTGCCATGTATTTGTGTGGCTTCTGTCTGCACAGTACCAAGTGCCTCTAGATTATTTGCAATTAGAAAAAACAGTAAATATCTGTTTGTTGGGTTTTGTTTCCCCCAAGTGTGAGATGAGATTTGTGTCTTATTTCATTTATGCATTTATTATGAGAAGCATTTATTAACTGGAAAAGTTAAGTGAAAGGAAGAGCATCACTAGTGAGCACAGTGTGGTTGAGGAGGATGGTCCTCTGGGACCATCACAATGCCTTTCCAAAACATCTCTGTCCTCACAGAAACCTTCATTGGCACCTTTGCCACTCGCCTTTCTGCTTGCAGATGATGCAGCTCGATCCCCCACCACCACCCCCTTGTGTTATCTGTGACTTCAGGAGGGAAACCCCTCCATGTACCCTGCTTACCCCACTGCTTTGTGTTTGTTTTTGTGGTGCTGCTGCTCAAGGCTATCAGCCTGTTTCAGGAGCCTCCTTCAACATGCTCTGCGTGGAAAGGCATGTTTCATTTTTAAGTAAAAAAAAAAAAAAAAAACCGCACACAAAAAAACCCAAACAAACATAAAACACAGCGTGGCACAGATTAAATCCATTTGAGACAACTTGAAAAAAACCCCGCCGTATGTGCAAGTCAATAGGAGGAGGGGAGTGGAAGGGGGAAAAGCAACTGTGACATATACAAACCCTTTAGTGTGCATAGCATAAGATTTTTTGGCTGGCACTCACATGATTTTATTCAAGGGCTGGGAAAGAACTACGATTAGTTAAAAGCTTCGGCAAAGTCTGGAGGGAGTGCTCTGAAGAGTTGGGAGCCGCGCAGAGGTGACTGTAACTCCTCTCGCAATTTCAGACCATTCTTCTGGGGCTCAGGACAAAAGCCTTTTCTTTTCCCTCCGTGTTCAAAGAGACATTTGTCTTGAGATGTTGCAGCTGTGGGCCACGGGATCGCTTGTTTGAAGATATCCCCTCGTAGACGAAAGGAGAGGCAACGCACTGAAAAGTGGTAGTATTTTATCGTGTGTGGGTTCCCCCCCTTCCTCCTCCCTCCCTCCTCCTCCACTGCCATGTGTGGTTTTTAATAAGAAGAAGAATGTGGAGGCAACATTTTCCAGGCAAGGGGAAATTTCCTGTTTCTTTTCTGTTTGTTTAATAAAGTGTGTAGTTGACTGTAAAACTGTAGCTACTTGGTTGCGAGCGGGTAATTCAGGCGAGTGTCAGGATCGCTTCTTGATGCACTTTTATATACTGCAAGGGAACATGTTTAAAGCCTCTTTTCTCCTTTTTTTTTTTCCCTTTTTTTTTTATTTTAATGCTGCGTGGCGTAGGCAACTGAGATTAATAAGAATTAGGCAAATGGCTTCTGCTTTTGTTTCGGTGAGATAGTACCAGCCGTCTTGTGGTCACACAAAGGCTGCCATTTAGCAGGGAGCACTCCCTAATTCTCTTGGCAGGGGTGCCATTGGGATCGGATACAAGTGGGTGGCAAAGGGGAGGAGCGGCAGGAAAGGACAAGCAGGCTTTGTGTATTAAAAATGAAACAAAAGCACTTTATACGCGGGGCTGCGCGCAACAAGCGGCGCTGCCTGTGAGCCGGGGTGGAGTTGGAGTTCTCTGTGACTGCAAAAACCTTGCTTTTTTTGTTGTTTTGTGGGTTTTTTTTCCATAAACCCTTCCTTCTCTCCCTCTTTCTTAGCAAGCTCTCCCCACACTGCTGACCAGGGTCCGCGGGTGGCTGAAAACGCCTAAAGAAAATATGTGTTGAACAATACTTGCCCCAACTTTGCAAGAACGGCTTGGGGGGTTTCTCAGCAAAAATCAGCTTCAGATGGCATGGGAGCCACCGCATTTGGGAGGCTCTTGGGAGGGAGAGATGATCCCACCCCAGCCCCAAGGAGAGCTGGTTCCCTGCCTGCACAGAGGTGGTGATGCTCGTGGTTTACACAGATTGTACCCTCGGTGGAGTGGACCCAATGTGTGGCAGAGCGAAAGGGTTAATGGCTGCGATGTTTGATCAGAATTTCGGGGGGCGTGGCCGGCTGTTTAATTACTTTCTGATCCATGGCATACCTCGTTCTTAACGAAGCAGTTGCATGCAGAACAAATGTGCTGTATGAGCCAAGGTAAAAGAGAGAGCAGGCTGAGTGTAGCTCGGCTTTGTCAGCCCAAGTGTCTTATTTGAGTGTGTTGGTGCAGGAGGTGGGAACCAGGACGGTGAGGAATGGATGCAGTGTGGTAGAGAGGCAACGGGAGAGGCAGGCGAGGAAAACAGACCATGGTTGAAGCTGCAAACCTGCCAATGGTTTCTATTAAAACGTAATTTCCATACATTATGCACTCCATCTCGTATTGAATTGCTTCAAAACTTTGCTTGTCAAACCGAAGTAAATTCCCTCACTGAAGCAGGAGAAACGAGAACCGTTCCTGTGAGTACCTTGCAGGTTCCAGCCACATCCATCCTCAGCGACTGCACTTGTGGGTGCAGGCGAGGGCGACATGCCTAAGAAGCCTGTGTCACCATGCACAATTACATACCTAATCCCAAGGAAATACACAGATGCTGTTTCAAAAAAAAAAAAAAAGGACAAAAAAAAAAAAGCTGTGTTTCGTTTGACTTTCAGAGAAGCTTATGTAATAGCAGCATAATAAAACCCTTATTTCGGGGCTCGGATTAAATGTCAGAGTTTCAGATAACCCGTGGTTTCGTCTTCCACGTGCTACACTCACAGGAAACCATCCCCAGCCTCTGTGTGCCTGCTGCTCTGCCTGAGGATGGTCCTGGTGGGCACTGAGGTTGGCAGTTGAATTGTACCCAGCGGGGCTGGGACCACCACGGCCACCTTGCCCCTGCATCAGTATTTACAGTTGTGGTGTGAGGCTGGTAGGTGATGCTCTAAGCCTTGGAGATCATACACATTAGTAAGCATTTAAGTCAGTGTTATAATTCACTCGCTTGTTAACCTGAGAAAATAATCTAGCTGGGGTATAGTGCTGCCCAGGGGGATTGTGTAAGCACTCGGAGATTTGTGCATGTTTTTATTCTTGCTTATCTGCTTATCGCAAGCTTCTTTCAGTTATCCAAATCGTCTCGGCTCTCTACCCTGCCTACTGACACAGTTGCACTCCCATCTGGATGAAATGCATGCAAACATAATGTATTACTTCCAGTAATGGATTAGGAAAGAAGGAGTGAAGGACCTATTCCAAAGGTGCTCATGTGTACTGCTGAAAACCTTTGGTCAGGTCTGCTGGGTTGGTTTGTTCTTCATTTCTTTAAGCATATTGAATGGAAAAGGAACAGAAAGCCACTGAACCCACTCCATTAACTTGCCTGTTTCCATGGAGTTATTTTTTCCATGTAAAATCAGTGTAACTACGTGCTGTCCCACATTTCATACAAAGCAGTGCAGGGTCCCTCCTCTGGATGATGCTCCTGGTGCCAGCAGGGCTGGGATTCATCGCTGTGTCCCATAGCACCTGTGTCTGTCACATCTGCATCAGCTGGGGGAGATCCTGCTTAATGCTTCACCCAACAGCAATCTGGACAAAAAGGCACGTTTAGTTTTGCCTTAAAAAATGAAATCAGTCTGTTGCTCTTTTCAAAATACACCCAAACAGCCCCATGGAGTTCCCTCAGCCAAGTGCTGTGTGTGTCAAGCTCACCAGCATCAGCACAACCACCGCACTTAAAGGCCAGACAGATGTTGGCTGGTAGCTCTGGCAGATTCTTGTGCAGAAGGAGGGTTTGGTAAGGACAGGGGCTTTTTGAAAACTCAAACCCAGATCCTCCAGCCCCAGCCATCTCGTGGTGCAGCAGCAGAAATAAAACACCACATTGTACCCAGAACACCTGCTCCCCTCACCTGTACTCTTCACAGAAACTGCCTGGGCAGCCAAAAGAGATATCTGAGATACTTTGATGAGTCCTAAAGTAGTAAACACCCTTACTGAGTGGTAAAAGGAGGCCTAAGAATTTCTAAGTGATGTGTCCAAAAATGAACCAGTTAATTCTCAGCAGAGCAATAAACAGGATATGAGAATGGACCCTCTGCAGCCCTTGGTGGTGATCAATTCTTTCCTCACCTCAACCTGGAGAATGATGGGTATACAAAGTAAGCTGAGCTCCTTTGCCGTTCCCACCATGGAACTTTTGGTAGTTGATAATGTATCAGAGTATAACCTCTATGCTAAAGGGGTCTTCAGTGTCCTGCTCTTCCTGTGATTTTCCAATAATCCCTTTTTAAGTAGTTCTCTGTTTGGACTTGTCTTTCTGAGGTAGTCAAAATGGTAAAGTCATTCCTTAAAAAAACAGATAAAGTGCCAACATGTGTCTGTGTAATGAAACCCCAGCCCTCCTGCAGTCAGGGAAAAAATGACTGTTGGCTTGGGTTTCACTCCTGAGGTGCCGAATATCCCGGGCGAATAGTCCAGCAGCTCTGGCGTGAGCAGTTTGTTTGAGACGTGGCCTGTGTCACGATCGGCACAGTGGAGATACATCCTCAGGAAGTCACAGGTGGCTGAAAGAAGATTGTCCACCCCTGTCCTGGGAGCGAGCCCTGCGGTGTGTCCTCTCCAACCGGGGCAGAACCGCAGCTGTGTTCCCAGGGAGAAATCTGGGCCGTGTGCGAAACTTCACATGGCATCGCCATCATCCCCCAAAACTTTTACGGGAACGTGGTGCTAATAACACCAAGGCCATGGGTTTGATCCCTGTGTGGGCCATTCATTGAAGAGCTGGACTCAATGGCCTTTGTGAGTCCCTTCCAACTCAGAAGATTCTGTGGTTCTGAAGCCCCTTATCTGACACAGGATCCATGCGCAGGTGCCGCTGCTGCCGAGGCACCTTCCCCGTGCCTCTGGGGTAAACTCCCTGCTCCTTCTGCTCGCAGGTATCCGCCCGCAGATCATGAACGGCCCCATGCACCCCCGGCCCCTGGTGGCACTGCTGGACGGCAGGGACTGCACCGTGGAGATGCCCATCCTGAAGGACCTGGCGACGGTCGCGTTCTGTGACGCACAATCAACTCAGGAGATTCACGAGAAGGTACCGGGAGATGTGGGGAGGGAGAGGTGGGATCTGGGATTCCTCTTCCAGTTCTTCTTTAAAGCACCAACCAGTTCCCAAAGAGTCTCAGAGCTGGAGAGGGACTTTGGACAAGGGCCTGGAGGGACGGGAAAAGGGGAATGGCTTCAAACTGACAGAGGGCAGGGTTAGATGGGATATTGGGAAGGAATTCTTGACTCTGAAGGTAGTGAGGCTCTGGCACAGGTTGACAAGAGAAGCTGTGGCTTGCCCCATCCCTGGAAGTGTCCAAGACCAGGTTGGATGGGGCTTGGAGCGACCCGGGATGGTGGAAGGTGTCCCTGCCCATGGCAGGGGGTGGAACTGGATGATCTTTAAGGTCCCTTCCAACCCAAACCATTCTGTGGTTCTATGATTTTTGAGCAGAAAGTGCACAAAGCTGCACTTGAAGTTGATCAACGGAAAACATCAACAGAAGCTGCTGCAGATTAAAATTCATTGAGGCTGTTTTAGAAACCAGATGTTACTTTGAAAAAAAAAAAGTCACCGTATCTCTTTGCATCAGGTTTTTTAGATCAATAACTTCTGGTAAGCACCAATGAAGGTCTGAATCTTCACTGAAGGGGACAAAGCACAGCCCTGTGTGGCTGTTCAGCCTCACACAGAGCTTTTCAGGTCCTTTTGAAAACAGACAGAAAAGGTTGATGTGAGCAGTGTGATGGGTGTCTGAACTGCTGACATGCCAAAGGAGGTTGAGGTGTGGTGAGTGACACACAGTCATGTTCAACCAACAGACATTGCTGCAAAACCTGATTCCTTGTTAAAAGCAGAATTACTGCTGGTTGGAAGCAGAGGGACCAGCAGATAACCACATGGAAAAGGGTCCAGGTGAGCAGCAGAGCAGGCTCGGTGTCCCTCTGCCTGCTCTACTCAGATGTAGCGTCATAATTTTCAGATATTCATCAAATCCATTCCCAACAGGAAGGGCCTCGGTGTTGGTGGGTCACACCCCTGATGGTTTTGGTGACAGTGGGAAGTGCTGGCTGGAGCCTGACAGTAGATCAGCAGTAAAGATGTACAATTCCCTGTGTCTTATTCCTGATTCCAGGGGCTGCAGGTGCCCCTGCCAGGCACGTCCTGGTGGCTCCTGACCTCTCTGTTGTGTTGCAGGTATTAAATGAGGCTGTGGGGGCGATGATGTACCACACCATCACTCTGACCCGGGAGGATCTGGAGAAATTCAAGGCCTTACGGGTCATCGTTCGAATAGGCAGCGGCTACGACAACATCGACATCAAGGCTGCGGGGGAGCTTGGTAGGTCTCAGCTCTGCACCCTCCTTCCTTCCCGTGTCCTTCCAGGTCTTCAAAATCAGCACAAGCACCTGCTGCTCCCGTGGGGACTGTGCTGGCACAGCAGAGTTCAAGGCAGGGCCTCCCAGAGGTTGTTCAACCCCTCCGAAAGGGGTTGATTCAGCCCCTAAAATTACAAGTGCAGCTTAAGTTTTTTTGCACCTAGAGAATGTTATAACAAGAAAACTTGACCATGAAGTAAACAAAGTGGTGCAGCTTTAGAAGGCAGCTTTTAGGCTCATGCTGTGTTTAAAACGGCCCCATCCAAGTCCCTCGTTCCTACTCTGCCCCTGTTTCCAGGTGCCCCCTTCTACTGACAGATATTTGTGTGGCAGTTCTATTTCTGGCACAGGAGAGTTGATACAGCCTTGGAAAAATTGGAGGAAGGGTGTTTTATTATGTTTTGTTAAGCAAGATTAGCCTCTTGATCTGATCTCTGAGTCATGCCCACTCCTCTGGGAAGGTGCCGTGTTGGATGGTGGAGCAGGAATTGTGCATTGGGTTGTTGCTGCCTCCTTTGCCATCTCATCAAAGGTGCCTCAGGAACTTGAAAAAGGCATTTTATGTGGGTCCATGTTGCATGGACTGCCAAAATATGGAGGGTCACATGGTCAGACAGGGCCACCCAATTTTCAAACTGGCTGCACGGAGCTGAAGTGTATCCTTGATTTTAGCAGCTGAGTTACAATGGGTTTTGATCATCTGATTCCAAGATTCAGTCTATCGAGCAGCCCTGCAATCGTGTTTGGGATATGTTGTATTAAAGGTTATCTCTGGGGAAGTGAAGAATAACAGCTATTTCACCTGAGCCGTTTTCCAGAGATAATTGCGATAAGAGAGTCTCAAATAGTCATTCCTAAAAAAGCAATTCTCAATATAGTGAATTGTTTTCTTTTTTTCAAGAGGAGAACAGTGTCTTCCCAGTGTAATGGTTTCTTCATGTTTTTAACTCTTATTGTTATTATCCATTATAGCAATGTTCTGAGGCTTTGAACATCAGGAAAAGAAAGATATAAAGAATAAAGTAATGGGATACTGCAGCATAATCCTTCTTTTTATACTTGGCAAATTGGGTGGCCAAATGATGTGGCTTCAAGTAGAAAATGTAATGACTCCCCACAAATGTAGCGTAAAGTTTAATTGGTATTGCTTTCCATAAGGTGGATTTTAAGCTGCACAGTCAATAAATGACCGGTGTCTAAACACGATGCAGCGGCCACCGCGCTGACGGGGCTGGGGGCCCAGTCTGGACCCCTTAAAACACACCCCCAGAACAAGATGCTGGGGTTGAACCACCCTCTGTGGGTGTTTATGGGGCACAAGAGCAAATACCAGTGTAAGGAGCTCGTGGGAAAGGCAGCCCAATGTCCTCCAGCTCTGTGAGTGCTGGTCCCTCACAAGGGGACAGGGCTGGACTTGGCCTCCAGCTCTGGGGTCCCCAGCACAGGAAGGATGTGAAGCTGTTGGAGCAAGTCCAGAGGAGGCCACTAAGGTGCTGAAAGGGCTGGAGCACCTCTGCTGTGAGGAAGGGCTGAGAGAATTGGGATTGTTCAGCCTGGAGAAGTGCAGGCTTTGGGGTGACCTAATTGTGGCCTTCCAGTACCTGAAGGGAGCCTTCAGGAAAGATGGAGAGAGACTATTTACAAGGGTATGGAGTGACAGGACAAGTGGCAAGGGCTTCAAACTGAAAAGAGAGTAAGTTTAGATGAGACAGTAGGAAAAAATCTTCCCTGTGAGAGTGGTGAGGCCCTGGCACAGGTTGCCCCTTGCACAGGAAGCTGTGGCTGCCCCATCCCTGGAAGTGTTCCAGGCCAGGTTGGACATGAATTGGAGCAACCTGGTCCAGTGGAAAGTGTCCATGACCATGGCAGGGGTGGAATAAGATGGTGTTTGAGGTCCCTTCCAACCCAAACCATTCTGTGA